GCGAGCTACAGAATTACGTTTCATGTGTGTGTTGTCGATTCGAGAGCATTTGGCTCTGGATATCATAGGGACAACAGTTCTTGAAGGCAAGAGCCTTGCTTCCCTCATGGAGGGAGTGGCTGCTTAACTGGCACATGTGTTTCTTGCAGTTTTCGTCGGTATGTGCTTGTCTTGCATCAAGCACATGATTCAAACAACCTGCCGATGCCCAGGAACACCCCCGTCGTGTGAAGGAGGAGCCTTCCACCCCTCGCAAGTCTTCCTCCCAGCTCTTTGGCTACGACCTGTCCAACCTCTCCCCCGAGACTCGGAGCATGGCCTTCAACCTGCACGACACCCCGGCTTCCCGTAGCCTGCTGGACCAGCTTTGTCAAGCAGCAGCCGAAATGCACAGAGGTCGCCGAACCTGCAATCATGCATTAGGTGAATGATAAAAGCCCGTCGCTGTTGTAGACATGTCTACAGCAAGCAGATGTGTATCGAATAGACGTCCTCTGTGTGCTTACCATAACTTTCTGGCCTTGAGCGACATCCTGCAGGTGTGCACATACAGACACTAAGGCTGTGTGTCTTCTGTGTTGCTCCTCTGTGCAACCACGGGTTTCCTAGATATTTTTCTTCGTACACAGGAAAGAATTCTATAGGTCAATACTTCTAACTTCGAAGTGGCCACATACACATACGGGCCTACATATGCCGCTTGCCGAACTTGGGTGGGCTGTACATGTGGCACGCATATATGTATGCACTACTTGTTTGGGGTGTAGATCCGTGTCTCTATGTGTCTACACAACTATATATATGTACGTGTATATGTATATGTATATGCATATATGTATGCATATGTATATGTATATCTATATGTATATGTATGCATGTATATGTGTGCATGTATATGTATGCATGTATGCATGCCTTTATGTTAATGTGTGTACATATATATATATAGATATGTACATATGTACTGATACTTATAGAATCGTGTCCGAAAAACAAATATATATATACATACACATTTATATGCCTGCCTGTGTACATGTCCTGATTGTGTCCTGCAGGTGGCACTACGAGGCTGGCTGACCCTAGCCTTCTGAAGGCTAAATCCGAGCTCCCAGACAGCAAGCCCCGTCCAACTGCAGTTCGCTCTGGTGGGAAGCCAGGGCAGCTGGCTTTCGAGGACAGCGGCCGGGCTTCTGCTTCGGCTGAGTCGTTGCCGGATGGACAGAGACTGAAGCGACTCAAGTCTCAACAGCTGTTGAGCGACATCGCAGAGAGACATGCTCGTGAACTTGCAGAAGCACAAAGGCTGCTCGCTCAGGAGGAGGCAGAGGAGGAGCAGCGACTCTTCAAAGAGCAAGAGGCACTCCGCCGCCGAGAGGAGGAGCAGCGACTCTTCCAGGAGCGAGAGGAAGCCCGCCGCCGACAGGAGGAGGAGCAGCGACTCTTGAAGGATCGAGAGGAAGCCCGCCTCCGAGAGGAGGAACAGCGACTCTTGAAGGAGCGAGAGGAAGCCCGCCGCCAAGAGGAGGAGCGGCTCTTGAAGGAGCGAGAGGAAGCCCGCCGCCAAGAGGAGGAGCGACTCTTGAAGGAGCGAGAGGAAGCCCGCCGCCAAGAGGAGGAGCAGCGACTCTTGAAGGAGCGAGAGGCAGCCCACCGCCGAG